GTAGTTTGAGAAGTTTCTACCAATGTTTTGATGCTGTATTTCTGCCATGAAACTATGTTACTATTGGAGTGTATGTGACATAAATTCAAGCTGACCACAGCGGCTGTTTCTCCGAACGACCAACAACAAGAGCCGCCTTTCAAAACTGTGAAGTGAAAGCATATTAAAGGATAGATTTTAGAGAGGTTTAAAGATGTTATTTTATTACATTGTGAATATGTGCTTTACTTGAACGTACTGCATTTGGCCCAGGAATAAAGAAACAATTCTTATAAGTATTAAGTGAACCGACACGGTTTCATGCATATATATACATGGATTACCTCTGATTGTGCATCCTCCACATTAAGTGATAATCCTTTTCTAAATGCTAAAGTCACACTGCTTTTAGTCCTGAGACTTTAACAGCTTATTCTTCAGTGGCAGTGAATGGAAATAAATATTAATATATCGTTTTAATTTAGAGAAAGAGCCTGGAAGGGTAGCATTATAGTGACCGGATTTAAAAATGCTATTGCGTAGCTTCATTAAACCACAGCTTTATAATGACAAGCCAGCACCAGACCTTGGTTATAGAATAAATGGTTTGCTAGAACACGATAAAAGGTAACAAGGACGCTTTCAGCAGGATGCAATAGGCTTGAGTGACAGTTTCCCCCCCGTACCACGACACAGACAGGTTGTAATTTCACTAAAATCTAAAATACACTAATGGAGTACATGTTATTCATGGTTAGGAAGAATTAGCTTTTCTTTGTCATCTCTGTGTCTGAATGTACAGAGTCAGGAAATGAGAATCATAGTGATAGACAGGGGTAGGATTATATCTACTCTCTCTGTTTGTTAAAGCTTGTCCTTCCTGTAATTATCTTAAAGCACACACACACACACACACACACACACACACTCAGTGCGGCATTTTTCAACCCAACAAGGGGAAGTTTCCTTGAACCCTTACACTCACTGTACAAAGATCTGTTAAGCCTTTGATGTGTTTGTGTACATTTGTGGTTGAATTTTCACTATTTGTCACAGCCAAAAATAATACATCACATACAGACAGCAGGCGTCGTCGTATACTCGACACATTAGTCTTCATTCGTATTATTCTGTGTTTAATCTCGCAGGATTTGGGCGTTCTTGTAAACTAAAGCAAGTGTCTTCTTGTGTCGGGGGTTGCACAGCTTCCCACGCACCAAACAAGCCCCGAGAATGGCCTTTTCGACTGTCACGACCTGAGTCATCACAAAGCAATAGCATTGCTTACATGCCATTAACATTCAGTTTTCAGTAATTACTACATCAGTTGCCTTTTGACTCATTTGTATTATTGCGCAGGTTTCCTTAGAAGAAGCTCGAGACCGAAGAACTCAGTTAAACCTCGCTCTCGCTCCTGCCCGTGTCCCGGTGGACGAGCGCGTTTGTTATGTCTGTTTGTCTGTTCCCTCCACAGTTTCCAAGAAGGGCAGATAGGAGGGGAGGCGTCTGATGTGTTGCTGGCTGATCAGGATCAGGTTGGGTATTCAGAAAATGCCGGGAAACACATGTGAAAACACACGCCTGGTTGATTTTCCCCATCACAGCGTGTCGCTTGCTGTGTGCGCGATATTGTAAGGTCCCATCTGTGTTCACAGCCAGCCGTAATCACCACAGATAAAGACAAAGGTGAATTTTCTTAAGCTGCGTGTTGCTCCAATGGATGCTGTATACTGGTTTGATACAGAAAATAAGTCTGTACTACATGAAAGAAGAACAATCTCCTTCTGCTCAAGAGGTTTGAGAGGTCTAAAGGAAATACAAATCATGTTTTAGTCAGAGACATCGACATTTCCCCTCTAAAAAACAAAAAAAAACTGCTTCTTTGCAGAGTGACTCTAAACATAACAACATCAAAATGTCTCAAAGCATTTCTGCAAGCGACAGAATGACCCAGAGGTCTGTCATAATCGCAGGAAGCAGAAGAATGCAGAGGCAGGCTGCCAGATATCATAGTGACGGGCCACTGTTTTGATTAGATCCACACAACCGGTTTGTTTGGATGCCTGTTTGCATCTTGTCACATTACCACCGGCCAAACACAAGACGTGACTGCGGGTGGTGGGTTAGTCCCTGCGATCAGGCTTTTTTTTTTTTTTTTTTAGGATTGGACTTCGTCAGGAATAATTTGTTTGTGTGAATGTGGGAATTTATAGCAGTTTGTCAACGTGTATGCATCCGTCTTTAAAAAAAAACAAACATCAGGGGGCGTTTGTGGAAAATGCAGTAAGTATTCACTCTCTGTGTAATATGGGAAATATAACCCAATTTATATGGGTGTCTGTGCAATACCACAGCTTTAAATTACTGTACGTCTGTGTGTGGGTTTCACACTAAAACCAAACCAACTGTGTGTCTTTGTGTGCGCACAAGTGGGAGGAATACCAAAACTTAAGTGAGTGGTGGTGTTTTTTTTTGGTTTGTTTCAACTTTGACTCTTTCTTGCCGTAGGACTTTGTCATTGCTACTATAGTTCATCTACTACTGAACCCAAAAGCACTCAAGGATGCTCCGTGTGTGCGTTTTCTCTGCCTGTGGTCGACTCTGTGACTCACGCTGAATGAAAGCCAGTTCTGAGAGGCAGATAAAAGCCGGAAAACACCAACCCTGCCCACTCTCTAATCCTGCCACTCCCTGCTATCCTCCTCCTCCTACTTGCCGACTTCACCAGGACCATCACAGGACAGAAAAAAAGCGCTCTGGGTAACAGAAAGCCCTCTTGAAGTTTGTATCAAGGACTTCTTGAGTGAGCTCAGTCCTGAAATTGACTGAATTAGGACAGATCCAAGTCTGTGGTAGACAAGTTTATTTCTGTAGGCTTAATGAAGATTTACCAGAATATCTGTCTTCCCTCTTTTTGTCACTCTTGTGTGTGTGAAATTGGGCTTACCTCACAAGTTTCACTGAGGGCCCCGGGGGAATTACCATAACAAAAGTTTGTGTGCACATAGTTTTGTGCGAGAGGAGCAGCCGTGGCAGGAATTCCAGACTTTCTCGTCTTTTTTTTTTTCATCGTTTTATCGTCAAACAGGAGGCCTTCACCCTCCGTCAGCCCCGTTAGCCTCCACTCCAGAGCCCACCAGAGGCGAAACAGAAAAAGAGAGCAAAGGGGCAGAAAGCACATACTTCCAAAGCCTGACTGTAAACAAACAGGGTTGCTCATGTTGTCTGCCGTTACCTCACAGACGGTTTCTGTTCTGTAGTGGGGAGGTTTCGCCTAACTTCCCCTCAGCGGGGCCCGCAACCCCAACATCACCCACACATGTGAAGCCTGTGAGTCAAATCGGCGATGAATCACTTTCAACTATGACTCGTTTATCAATGACACACATGGGGTAGTTTTTTTTTTTTTAGTAGAAACTAGGGGGAGTAGATCTGACAACAAAATGAAACAGATGAATAAAATAGAAAAGGCCACAGAGGTGGAGGAGGGGGGCATAAACAAAGTGACACTTTCCGGGCAAACGGAGAAGTCTCATCTGAGTTTTTGTCTAAAGATGACGATTGCTTAGCGATAGCAAAAATGTACGATAATATAAGTTCAATCCAAACGTATCGGCACGTCAGCAAAACCATTTTATGGTTGTCAAGTGTGATGTGGAAGGCAAGCCTCAGCAGACCCAAGAATAGCAGCGACATGAGTGTGGCACATTAAGTTGAACAGAACTCGCTGTTTCTGGATCAAAGTGACTCACGTCTAAGACATCTGATGTTCTTTGTGGGAGTGTGCTTCATATTGTATTACAAATAGACTGTCGGACACATGTTCTGTAGCGAGTAGCACTACACGATTATCATTAATGTTTCCCTGTGTCGGTTTATTGTCGAACTATTCCAGGAGCAAGTGTGTTTTTTTTTAGTTTAATCACTATGCATTGGTTTTTGTCTGCTGTCCTGAAGTAGTACAATCCTATCAAGAAAATTGTCTCCTCACTATTAGAGGTTAGATCATCTGAAATGTGAGCGTGAGTTGCCTTTCAGTCATTTTAACATCTGTTATCTGAGAGAGCCACAGTGAAACTAGATGATTGGAGTAGAAATGCTCTCTGATAAAGTCGCATTATTCAGTTCTTGTATTACAAATAAATGTGACAGTGGTGATCATAGTATTATTTGGAAGGCAGAACTGCTGTATCGTCACATTGTGAACATTTGTCACCGCAAATCAATGTACTTCTGTTTCAGATGCTGTATATATGATCAGTGCACCTTAGTCGCAGTGTGTGTGTGTGTGTTTGTGTGTGTGTGTCGTTGTTGTACCATGAAACGCTCATGCACGAGTGTGTTTCTTCTTTTCACCGTGGACTGTTGTTAGTGTTCATTTTGAAAGTGATTTTATTCCCCTTTATCATCTCTGTACTTTTCTCATTAGGTCAGATCAAATGTTAGACAGAAGTATGACAGTATTGTTTCATTTAGAGTTTAGTGTGTGTGTGTGTGTGTGTGTGTGTGTGTGTTGTATAATGTTGTGTTTATTTTTGGTGTTTCCCCCACACAGCACCTTATCTTGACATTTGGAATTTCACATTTGTTTCCACGATGAGGCACTAAGATTAGCACCAACCAGTGTTACTCTTACAGTTCTAACATTTTATAATGCCATAGTTTTACCTTTTTTCTCTATAGAGCCCAACAAATGTACTTTTTTTCTTATATTTTGTGCCTGGATTGCCTTTCTTTGTCCTTATATATCTTTTACGTTCCCATGTTCTTTTTTTATACATAAGCAATACATATTGTTTTGGCAAATATATCTTAAATTTGGGTATTAAATTGTTGTAACAAAGATATCTACTGATAAAATATTATAACATCTGTAAATTTTGAACTGTATCGATCGTTGTCATCATGCTGATGGATCACTCGAGCTTTACATTTTCTGTTTAATATAACATAACTTGAATGACCTGAATACGGGGCAACTTTTCTTTACCATTCATCCTCGTCTCCTTGTCCTCTCAGGAGCCGTTGGGGCCCAGTCCCTGTTCTCCATGCCTCGGCGGCCTGGCTATGGCACCATGGGGAAGCCCATCAAGCTACTGGCCAACTGCTTCCAGGTGGAGATCCCCAAGATGGATGTCTACCTCTACGAGGTGGACATCAAGCCTGACAAGTGCCCACGGCGAGTCAACAGGTAGGTTGAACCCTTTGAGTAGTATCTTTAAAACTTCTCATACACCTTTCTCAGATACAGTATTTACATTTAGAAATAGGCATTTAACGGATATCTAATATAGAGCATCTAGCTGTGAACAAGTACACAGAAAGAAAGAGTCTTACCTAAAGATAAATGGGTCTTGCTGGGTTGAATCTAATGATTTGTTGATAATAACTGTTGATTCGACAGTTTAAACTCAATTTGTGAAGTCTTAAACAATGTCCGCATATTACAACTTACAGTACAACTGAAACTCAGTTTGTGTGTTTGTTGTGCAGGGAGGTGGTTGACTCTATGGTGCAGCACTTTAAGGTGACAATCTTTGGGGATCGCAGGCCAGTCTACGATGGAAAGAAGAGCCTGTACACAGCCAATCCACTACCTGTGGCACCCGCAGGGGTGAGCTGGAAAAAAGACACGCACATAAAAACACGTTTCGCTTCTACACAACCTCAGTATAAATCATATCAGACTCAAACACATTAAACTTTAGCAACCACCACCTGAAACCTACCTCCTTGAATGAACTATGCTTTAATTTAACCTTTTTTTTGTCCTGGCTTGTCCTCCTTTCCCCCCCCCACTCAGGTGGACCTGGATGTCACTCTGCCAGGCGAGGGAGGGAAAGATCGCCCCTTTAAAGTTTCCATCAAGTTTGTGTCTCTGGTCAGCTGGCACATGCTCCACGAGGTGCTGACTGGCCGCAGCATGCCTGAGCCTCTGGAGCTGGACAAGCCCATCAGCACCAACCCCGTACACGCAGTGGATGTGGTGCTGCGACACCTGCCCTCCATGAAGTGAGCATGAATTATTACGTTTTTTTCAAGAAAGGTTTAGACTTCAATCTTTTAAC